CCTCACATACACCTGTGACAAACTGCACCGAACAGCGCTTCATTTCACTGCTGCAAGAGCAGCTCTTGGGCACAGAAAAAAGAATGAAGTCCTATCTGCTTAATGAAATAAACAGTATTGCTTCAAACAACAGAAGCTTTTGCAATGCATTTTTCATATAAACTTACCAATTTCAAGATGTTAATTTCCCCTGAATCATACAGCAGAGAATTACTCAATGTACTGACAAACATCGGTATGCTCTGCCAATAAACTGACATTGCAAGATTAAGATGAACAAGCTTTTACATTAAAAAACCTTTCCAATTTGAAACAGCACGTATGCTGTACACAAGCAATAGCAACATTTTGTCAAATGAATAGTTTCAGCTCATACCTGTTTTCATAACATTTAAAAAAGCATAATCATGCTTTTTTCTCTGTATTTAAAAGTGCACTGTCCACATATCCATTGTATAGCATCTCAAAGTCCACTTCAGAGGGGACGAACCGAATACATGCCTTTTACAATGCCCTCAAGCCTACTTCAATACATCCACTTCAAACCAGGCAAGAGAGAGGAGGATCTCTTCCTAAGTTCCAAGTTTGCCCATGAAGGGCAGGCACCCGATGCCACAGAGAACCACTGGGCTCTATCAGACATCTCAGGGGAGAGCACCCAGAAGAAACCTCACTTTCCATCTCTTGTATTTCTAAGCTCAGACACTACCAGGGAAAGCATCTGTTTGTGTCTGCTGCTACAAATGCAACTGAGAAACAGCTTTGACTGACTTAGCAAACCAAACGGGAAGGATCATACATGCTTAATGCCAAGGACCCACAGAAAAGCAGCAAGTTTCTGTGCACTCAACCATCATCTATTGAATAAAGCAACTGCTCTGCACCAGTCACAAAGGCATTTCCAACTCAAACTGACATGGCTATAAAATAGATCTTCCATAAATAAGTTACTGTCTCCTTTTCTCTTCAGTCCCCATAGGCAGAAAAAAAAAACAAACTGACATCAAAAAAAGAAAAGAAAAAAAAGTCTTTCCTAATCCAGTACCTACCACATAGAGAAAATCACTGTAAAATAACATGGATCTGTTAGGTGTAAAAGGACCAGCAGCTTGCTTGCAGGCGCACAGTGAATTTTAAGATGGCTGATAAGGGCCAACAGAACTACAAACGCTTGAACCTCAGACTGTTCTGCTGATTCTGCTGTGCTTCTGTGTGATTTAACCCAAAAGCCTTACTATAAGGTGAAAATTCTGCTACTGAAACCAATTCATGTGTACTTGCACGTCACATGCTAGAAGAGTTACTGCGACAAAGCAGTGCTTTTAAAGGAAACAGAACATTCTGAAGCAACACAATCTCATGATCTAGGGGAAGCTGGCAGATCAGGCTGTTGGTTGCACAAAGCACTGCCTATGAACCAAAGGTCTGTGAAAAGGGATGATGTCACTGGACAATCACTTAGTGATAGCCTGCAGGCAGCTGCTGCAAAGGGCATGGATGCATGTTTCATGAGCAGGTAACTGGTGGTAACCATTCACTTGGAAAAGACATAAAAAGAACAAGAAAACGTTTCTGCTCTGAAATTGGCAAATGTCTAGAATAAAAGATTTGAAAATACTCTGGGGAGATTGTATTACTTCACACTTGACACATTAGTTGCTACCAGGAAGTTGTGTTTTACCACTCTACATTGCTATCTCATTTTTTGTGATTCTAACATGCGCAACTATTATCTTAAGGATGCCAGACAGAACCATTTGCACATATAGCCAGTATCTCTAATACATGTAACCCCAGACATCTTGGGATCTCTAAAGATCTTATGTTTCTAGTCCCTGCTTGCAAAGTCTTTCCAACATCATTTCTGGTCAATAGGTTGTGATAGAATCCAAAAACACAGTGCCAACAGAAAATAATGCTAGTTGTTACTCTATCACCTACATACAAGGCTCTCCGAAAGCTTCATCATTCTAAATATTTGTTAGTAGATTTGTTATTGCATCAAAGGATACATTCACAATTCACCAGAAATCCAAGATAATACATTTTGCTACTATGAAGAGAAATGATCAACAGCAATGATGTAGAAGACATTCATCTAAAAGGAATTTGACTGGAACAGCAAAACCTACCATCTGAGCACCATATAGGAAATTTCTTAATTGTCTCTTCAATGACTTCAATATGCTATCTTCAATAAGTATTATGGTATCACAATTTACCCAACTCAAAACAGTTTTGCCTCATTACATTTGTTCAGTCAGAACAAAGGAGGTACAGGAACAACTCAGACCAAATACGAAGCATCGCTAAGGATGACATCTAATCCCAGAGAAAATGAAGTCTTGTGGTAGCACTAGGGAAAGGACTAGTTGGCAGGCATGGTCTGAATTCAAACTGCTGAAGTCTAGTCTTCAGGGCATGCAGACGTTCAGAAGCAACCTTTGGGAGTCTTCATGCTAGGCTAGAAGGGCGTAGGTTCAGCTAGCCAAATAACCATTTCTAGCAAAACTTTAATCAGTTCTTTCCCTGGAGCGTAGATTGCCCCAGACTTAAGTACGTTCACCATGGAGTAAAGTTATGTGGCTCTAGTGTATTCAGCGTACTAAGAAACAACAGTTAAAAACTGCAATAAATTTAAGACAGTGCTTGGGTTTACAGATGTTTATGGTTAACTCGCAAATGTTTGCACCTTACCATGTAATGGACACAAGTGTTTTTATTAATAGCATTGCAGTGCTTCTACATTTTTCTTAACCACCAAAACCCAGAATTTCACCTGTTCCAAAAAGACAAATGCAGCTATTTTAGAAGCCATCAAAGAGACAAGTAAGTTCCTGAACTATTTTAAGGATGCATGTGCCAAGTATTAGGTCAATTTGCTAACAAGTAAGAAACTGTTTTGCCCTACCATTTTAACTTACGTGGAAACAACATAAGATAAGGCATCTTTAGTTTTCAAGTCAAATATAGGATTACCTTCATTTTTGCTTATTTTCAAAGTTCTAAGCAAGACAAGAAAAAGGAAAGGTACTTAACTACATACTGGAAAAACTATGATTTCACTGTCAGAATGATCACTGCAAGAAATATCAACTACAAAAAAATTCTACAAGTATCCTATAATAACAAAATATGTATTTTCTCCTTTATGACAATTTCTATCTAGTTGGTAAAGGCTTCAGGACTAGATATAGCACGTAGTTAACTGTATCAAACATACAATTCATTTTTAACAAGTTTCAAGGCAGTATCTTAAGCGCCTTTTCTAAGATCTGTGTTGATTTTTTTTTT